CACTTGGAACACATTAAGGTAAAAACCAATCTGTTTTACAGATAGGAAAGATGTGCATCAGAAATGAGTCTTACTAAGGATCTTTCCTCACAATTTACTACTAGCTTGTTTCACCGTCCTACTTCACGGGATCTCCGATCACATAGAACATGTTACCACTATAGTAAATTTCAAGTGGATCTCAAATCCATCTCTCTTGATGCACTTTCTATCACGTTGCGTGACAGACCCTTAGTGAACTGATCTGCCAGATTGTTAGACGTGTGAACATAGTCCAACGCTATTACTCTGGAGTTTCTTAATTTTCTGACAGATTTTAGTCATCTCTTAACATGCCTTGTGGACTTCATGTTATCCTTAGAACTGTTAACATTTGTAATCACAGTCTGGTTATCGCAGTTCATAGAAATAGCCGGTATAGGTTTTTCAACAACCGGTAAATCCATAAGGAGATCGCGAAGCCACTCAGCCTCAGATCCAGCAATGTCTAATGCTGTGAGTTCTGCTTCTATTGTAGACTTCGTTAAGATAGTCTGCTTGCAAGACTTCCAGGAAACAGCGCCACCTCTAAGCGAAAACACATATCCACTTGTGCCATAAAGCTCATCAGCATCAGAAATCCAGTTGGCATCACAGTAGGCTTCTAGTACTTTTGGATGTCCGGTATAACAAATACCATAGCTCATGGTCCCTTTTAGGTAGCGCATTACTCTCTCAAGAGCACGCCAGTGATCATCTCCTGGGTTTGACACAAACCGGCTCAGTTTACACACAGCAAATGATATGTCAGGCCTTGTTGCACTAGCAAGATACATGAGCGAACCAATGATCTGGGAATATCTCAACTGATCCCTTGCTATTCTTCGATTTTCCTCAATAGCACACTAGGGTCATAAGGTGTAGGAGCAGGTGCACAGTCACTAAAACCAAAGCGACTCAACACCTTTTCCACATAGTGGGATTGTAACAGAGTTACCCCACCATCACCTTCTCTCAGAAGCTTGATATTAAGAATAACATCAGCCTCTCCCAAATCTTTCATCTCAAAATTTTTAGATAGAAATTCCTTCACCTCCTCGATCACTTTGAGGCTAGATCCAAAGATCAGTATGTCATCAACATATAAGCACAAAATGACTCTTTCATCCCCACCATACTGATAGTACACACATTTGTCAGCTTCATTCACAACAAAGCCAGCAGATGTTAAAGTTCTGTCGAACTTCTCATGCCATTGCTTAGGAGCTTGTTTTAGGTCGTATAATGACTTTAATAATTTACACACCTTGCCTTGTTGACCATTTGCTACAAACCCATCAAGCTGATCCATATAGATCTCCTCCTCCAACTCTCCGTTTAGGAAAGCTGTCTTAACATTTATTTGATGAACGATAAGACCATAAGAGGCTGCCAGGGAAAGCAAAACTCGAATTGTGGTCAATCGAGCAACCGATGAATAAGTATCAAAGAAATCCTCACCTTCCTTTTGGGTATAACCCTTGGCCACAAGCCTTGCCTTATACCTCTCGATAGTACCATCGGGCCTAAGCTTTTTCTTGAACACCCATTTGCAACCTATAGGCTTGCACCCATAGGGACGATCAACTATTTTCCAAGTTCCATTAGACATAACAGAATCTATTTCACTCCATACTGCTTCCTTCCACAAGTCAGCATCAGGAGAGGAATATGCATCTTCAATGGTTGTTGGTGTGTCATCCACAAGGTCTGTCTCTTGCTTTTGCTGGTGACTATAGTGTCATCCTCCTTAGGATTTTGTACATAGAGTTCCTCAATTTTTCCTATCGGAATAAAGTTTTCATGCTCATGGGGAATTATAAATTTATGACCAGTTGTGCTAGGTGCATTTTTCATGGGAAACTCATTCTCGAAAAATGTAGTGTCTCTAGATTCCATGATTGTATCAACAGCCATCTCAGGAACACTAGAGTTTATAATTAAAAATCTATAACCCACGCTATGAATAGCATAACCAAGAAAGACACCATCAACAATCTTTGGTCCAAGCTTTCGCTTTTTGTTTATTGGCACATTCATCTTTGCCAAACAACCCCAAGTTCGCAGGTAAGAAAGATTTAATCTCTTCTTCTCACATTCCTTGAATGGTGTAATTTCTTTGTTCTTTGTGGGCACTCTATTCAGGACATGACATGCTGTCAAAATAGCCTCACCCCACTATTCCTTAGATAGTCCCGTAATCTCCAACATGGCATTAACCAAATCAGTTAGAGTGCGGTTCTTTCTCTCTGCAATCCCATTGGACTGTGGTGAGTATGGTGACGTCCTCTCATGAATAATTCCATGCACCGCGTAAAACTCAGAAAATTCATTTGAAAAATATTCTCCCCCGCGATCGGACCGCAAACGCTTGATTTTCTTCTCAAGTTGATTTTCTACCTCAGCTTTATAGACCTTAAAATAATGCAACGCTTCATCTTTAGTTTTTAATAAATACACATAGCAAAATCTAGTGCAATCATCTATAAATGTCATGAAGTATCGTCTACCGCATTTAGTCAATTCGCCATTCATTTTGCATAAATCAGAATGAACGAGTTCTAACGGTGCAAGTTCCTCGCCTCAGCAGCCTTGTGAGGCTTGCGCGGTTGCTTCGATTGCACACACACCTGACACTTAGAATCTTTGACTAAGTTAAATTTCGGGATTAAATTCAGATTTGCAAGCCGAGTGAGACAGCCAAAATTAATGTGACAAAGTCGTGAATGCTATATATTCGACTCAGGTGAAAGACAAACTGAAAGAACAAAGGGTAAAGAATTACCATACCCAGATGTTCCTCCTCCAGTCTCGCTAATTACCACATTTGCTGATTTCTTTTCTTGCTTATATTTGCGGTCTGGGCACGCACTTGCCCAATGCTCATCACTCCCGCAAACAAAGCATCCTCCACCTTTCTTGTTGTTTTTCTTCTTAAACTGTGCAGTCTGCTTAGGCTTTGCATTGTTGTTCTCTTGCATGTTCTTCTTCTTTTTATTACGAGATGCAAATGAGTTTTTCTTCTGCACCATATTGGCACGGAAGACTCAACTCCTTTTCCACGGTTGTCTTTTGCTCTTGCCCTCTCCTCAACATCAAGAGATCTAATAAGCTCAGCCACGCTAAACTCTTGCCTCTTGTGTTTTAGAGAAGTAGCAAAATCCTTCCAAGAAGGTGGCAACTTAGCGATTATACCGCCGGCCACAAATTTATCGGGCAACAGACATGGAAAATGTTCTAGTTCCTTTGCCAGCGCCTGTATCTCATGAGTCTGTTCGACCACATAACGGTTTTCAACCATTTTGTAGTCATACAGCTGCTCCATAAGGTACAACTCACTACCAGCATCAGAAACCCCAAACTTTGCCTCAAGAGCATCCCATAATTTTTTGCCTGATATGCAAGATATGTAGTTTTTCTCATACTTGGGATGAAGTGCACTAATCACGGCACCTCGAAACAGGTTATCGGCAGCCAAGAACTTTCGCTCCTCCTCAGGAGTAAACTGTTCAGGCTTTCCCTGTGCAGCGTGATAGCAGTTCATCGTAGTCAACCACAATACCATCTTTACACGCCATATCATAAAATTCTTGCCATCAAAATTATTCGGCTTCAAAGCGGCAGCAAATCCACTGACAGAAAATTGCCTATCATTAGGTTTTTGGATTGTTAGAAATTTAGGCATTTTCATTATCAGTTTAATCCAGAAATATAATATCAGCAGATTTGTGACAGCATATATGTGCATGTGTATATTTCTTATGAACGTTACAGCATACATAGATGACATACAGATTGGTACAGTAAAAATACAAAATACAGTAATCACAGAGATTAGACTATACCCAGCGGAGGGTCCCATGCCGAGGGCATCGGAGGCTCTATTCGCACTAGTCGACTTAGTGCGTTGCTCGAAGTCGCGGACCACAGTCGATGCAGGAAGATGTTCGCAGTGCAGTCCCACAAACGGATCACCAAGAAGAAGACGCCTTGACGTTCCAAGAAGAAGACGGATCCAAGATCGATCTCCAGCAGGAAGAAGATGGGCGAGCAGTCACGGATCGCTCCCCAAAAATCTAATCGCCGCCACCCCGTGCAGGATTCTCAGGCGGCCGAGGGTTCCGGAGGCACCTGCTCTCCTGCTCCTCCGTACGCGCAGAGGTACGGGATGGGAAAGTCAGAAGGCTGCTGATCTGTGGTTCTCTCGAGAGTGGTTGCTGAAGACATGATCTGGATTGACGGAAGACGGGATATATGGCTGCGACAGGGGAAGGAGACGAAGGCAGCCGATAGGGGAAGGAGACGAAGACAGCGGAGAATCGCATGAGACGGGAAGCGGAAGCGGAAGGGACGGTAACTGACGCAGTCAGTTCGTCTCCACCATCAAGGAGCGAAACTCCCGTGATAATGTGGATTCAAGTGGCAAAAGACTGGCCACGCCCGCCCGCCTGCCACGGCCCGGCCGGCGGCGGCGGCGGCGCGCGCGCGCGTGGCACGCCTTTATCCTTTTCTCAGCTTCTCAATTTAGATGAATAATTTCCAACCATATAAGCTGAGTCAGCGTTCAGTTAAAATCCCGTATAGTATTAAACCATACAACACTTAATGTTACGCACCATAGAAGTTTTATTTGATTTATTAAATATTATATGGGCCAAACCCATATTATATCAACAATCAGCTCTTACCACTTTTATAGGTCCACAATCCACTAAGGATACGATATAGGCAAATTCAATAGACAGAAGAGAGAAAATAGAAGTTACCCATATATTCCTGCTTACCATGCTTTGACTGGACTTGATTGTGCGAGGCCAGCATTGGATATCTTCGGTGAAGTTCTTTTTTCCTGCAGCATCATTATCATTTTTCATTTATAGGATTCCGTTCCTTAGTATTGATCAGTACCTAACTAGAACAATTGATCTCTGATCGTTGCAGACAGAATGATGGAACCTCTGAATAGTTGTTCGCTGGGTGCCATGGGATCCCTTCTCAGAAAGCTCGATGAGCTACTGCGTACTGAAGAGAGGGCCAAGGGACTCATAGGCGATCTTCGCATCATAAGCACCAAGATGAAGAAGCTATCAGAGGTACACAGCCCTCCCCATACGGTGAAATACTGGATGAATGATGCGCGTGAATTGTCCTACGACATGGAAGTCTGCGTCGACCTGTTCGTCCATGCCAGCCAGCCAGAAGATTTGCCAGCTAAGGTAGCGTGGATTAAAGAGATCTTGGGATTTGAGGGTCGCGTGAAGGAGGTTAACGAAAGATGTGAGAGGTACAATCTTGTTAACAGATACGTACTTCTCAGTAATCCGGCAAAAATTTTAGTGAGCCGTCATCTTCGGACTCAGTACGAAGAACCCGATCCTGTCGGCATGGAAGAACCAACAAACAAGATTCTTGAGTGGCTGATGCAGAATGGACATGGTGAAGAAGACCTCAAGGTTGTTTCCGTTCTTGGTGATGAAGGAGCCGGGAAGAGCACGCTTGTCAAAAGAATATGGCGTTTATCTAAAGGGAAGTTCCACTGCCAGGCTTTCGTGCAGACGGCAAAAAAGCCTGATACGAGGATGATTCTCAGAAGCATACTGTCACAAGTTCGCCCGAAGAAGCAGCCACTAAAAGTCTGCAAGGTGCCAAAACTCGTTAGCGATCTAAGGGAACATCTCCAAAATAAGAGGTTCGAAAACTTTGCCAAGACAATTAGCTGAATACTTTTAAACTTGTTTCTAACCCTTTTCAGTGCTCCGGGTGCGCACATACCACACTATAGATAGAAAACTCACTCTAACCCAATCTTATTTCAAAGACCAAAAGACAGACATGCCATAGTAGGTAAATACATTTTAAGCTTTTATCTTAATTCTCACTAGATTCACTAGAAAAAAAATCATATAGCTTCTCATAAAAGCAATACATACGATCATCAATTTTGTAGTCCCAATCATCATTTGTTAGCTAGATCCAACTAACTTGAAATTATCCATGTCCTATTATATAAAGACCAAACTCTTACCATTAAATCTAAAATAGCCCTTAAATCTATATTCAAATTCCCCACACATGCTATACTATTGAAATAACATAAAAAAAACCTCTAGATCTACTTCTAAGTTATCCACCTCTGTGGTTATGGAAAAAAAAACAAAGTACCTAAATGAATATCATAGTTATGAATCCCTCACTTATACCTTCACTAGTATATTAAAAAACTAACTCAAGGTATACATGCATGTATGCATAGATCATGTATAGTAATGTTGAGTGTATCAATATTCATGGTTTAACAATTATGAAAGTTGTTTCCTTTATGGGTTACATAAACTACCAGAATCCTGAATTACCTTGAGGGCCAAGAGTTTTCTAAGTGCCAAGAATTTTCTTAAGGGCCAAGAATCCTGAAATCATTTTTGTAGTAGTATATGCCAATTACAATAATTTGCACGCATGGTAAAATATTTTGTCAACAAACATTGCTTAGTGGTGTCCAAACATGCCATGTTATTTGCCATCATTAAAGTTATAAATCACAATATTTGTGTCACCCAACACTGACCCCAAAGTATACACAATACGATAAGCAATCTTCCCATGCATTGAATTTTCATGGTTATCTAAGTATATATATGTATGTACCCAGTAATATTAAGATGTTGAAAAATATGCAATGAAATTTGAATTAGGAAATTCTAAAGCAGTTCTGACAATTTGACTAAGAATTGCAGACATTCATAACTGAGATTATTAGCACATTTTATGTCTTCAATTTAAAACTTTGACGGCTACAACATTCTATTTTATATGATTGTTGCTATGATGAAGCATGTGACATGTACAGCACTTTGTTATTAGGTATTTTATTGTAATTGATAACTTATGGGATTTGTCAGTTTGGCACATTATTAAGCGGGCCTTTCCAGCCGGTAACCAAAGAATAATAACAACAACAGCAGTTGAGAACGTCGCCCATGTATGCTGCAGTTATGACAGTAATAGCATTGTCAATGTCAAATGTCTTGGTACTGATCAAGCCAAAAATTTATTCATTGATAGAGCTTTTGGGTCTGAAAAAGGATGTCCACCACAGTTCAATGATTTCACAGATGAGATCACAAGAAAATGTGGTGGTTTTCCCTTAGCCATCATCTGCACTGCTAGACTTGTGGCAAGCCAACCAGAAACAGAACAGGAGCAGCAACTGGATTATGTCACTAAGTTTCTGCCAAACAATTTGAGTACACACTCATCTTCTATGGAGATCCTGAACCAAGTACTGAAACTGTGTTACAGTAGTCTTCCTCATTGTCTGAAGACATGTCTGCTGTATCTTAGTGTGTATCCAGAGAATTACTTATTTCTGAAAGAAGATTTAGTGAAGCAATGGATAGCTGAAGATTTCATATGTACACCAGAAGGGAAGGACATTGTAGACGTTGCCGGCAGTTATTTTGATCAGCTCCTGAGTTTAGGCCTGATCCAGCGAATGGATATTGTTAACTCTAACAAGAAAGGTTCGTTGTCCTACACAGTGCACCCTGCGGTATTTGATTTTATCACATGCAAATCCATGGAAGATAATTTCATCACCATCATAGATTATTCTCAGTCGACAGTAGTTCTCAGTGAGAAGGTTCGTCGACTGGCACTCCACTTTGGCAGTGCAACATATGCTACTACACCTGAAAGTGTGGAATTATCACAAGTTCGCTCACTCTCTTTTATTGGACTCTTGGGTTGCATGCCTTCGATTGCAGAGTTTAAGCTTGTTCGAGTCATGATGCTCCGTATCTGTAGTGACGACGTGGACACGAGGTTTTCACTTTCAGAAATATGTAACCTGCTCCAGCTAAGATATTTGCAGGTCAGGTGCAACGTCACTGTGGAATTGCCAATCAAGATGCAGTGTCTAAAACACTTGGAAACACTAGAAATAAATGCAGGGGTAGAATATGTTCCATTGGATATTGTCCATCTTTCAAGATTGCTGCACATCCACCTTGGAAAAAAGTCAAGTACAAATCCGGCTTTTTCCTTAGTTGACTGGAACCGGTTACCCTGTTCTTCCATCTCCCTTCGGAGTTTTGAGTTGCTGCATCCCATTTGCATGTTTTCAAGGCTGCCCCTGTGGTTTCGTCAACTACACAAACTCCGTAGAATGGAAATTGTGGTCAGAAAATTGTCGGACGACATTGATGTCCTAGCGGAGTTACCGGTTCTCAAACATCTGTCCTTGTACGTCCGAACACCACCCAGTTTAGCAATAATCTTCAGCAGAGGAATGTTCCCAGCTCTCGAGTATTTCAAATTTGCCTGTGGTGTGCTATCGCTGGGCTTTGAGAAAGGAACACTGCCCAATCTTCGTTGGCTCGAGCTAGTCTTCAACGCCCACAAAAGGGAGCAGTACGGTATTGCTGTGGGCATCAGCCACCTGTTAAGCCTCCAGAAAGTTGTTGCAGGCATTGGGTTAGCCCCCGGTGCTGGGGAATTTGACATGATAGCTGCACGGTGTGCGTTATGGAATGCAATTAGACAGCATCCATGTCACCGAAGTTTCGAGGTGGTGATGATAAGGGTGGATCAAGTTGACGAGGATTGCAACCAACAGGAAGGATCCTCAAACGAACGTGGGCAAGTGCCACTGTGGAAGCTGGCGTTCCGGACCCCGCCGCAGCTCCCGGTCTTCACGGGGAGCAAGATCGAGGACGAGGCTGGGAACCCGCTGGAGGTGATCCTCGTGGACGCGGACACCGGCTCGCCGGCCATGGTCCCGCAGAAGCTGCGCGTCGAGCTGGTCCCGGTGTTCGGCGACTTCCCGCCGGAGGGCTGCGAGGACTGGTCCGCCGACGAGTTCCATAGGAACGTCGTCAAGGAGCGCCATGGCAAGCGCCCGCTCCTGACAGGCGACGTCAGGCTCACCATGAGGGACGGGCGCGCCACGGTGGGCGAGCTCCAGTTCACGGACAACTCGTCCTGGGTCCGCTGCAGAATGTTCCGCATCGGGGCGCGCGTCGTGCCAGCAAGCTACGACGGCGGCAGGATCGTCGAGGCCATCACCGAAGCCTTCATGGTCAAAGGCTACCGTGGTGATCTGTATCCGAAGCACTACCCTCCCGTCCTCGGTGACTCAGTGTGGAGGCTGGAGAAGATCGGCAATGAAGGCGCGTTCCACAGGAAGCTGAGGCGCAACAACATCGGGACTGTTCAGGAATTCCTAAGGATGCTAGCGGTCAAGCCTAACGAGCTGCGAGCGGTAAGTTTCCATTCTTCAGGGGAATGCTTTCACGGACTCGGTCTCTCGCCGCCGGCTGGTTTTGACTCTCTTTGAGTGCTCTGTTTTGTGGGATCAGATTCTGGGCGACGGCATGACCGACCGTATGTGGGAGGCGACAACCAGCCACGCAAGGACATGCGTCCCCGGCGACGAGGTGTACGTGTACACAGCGGGTGGCAGCACCATCTACGTGAACTCTGTCTTCAATCTCGTTAAGGTCAAGATCGGCGGCACTGAGTGCACCTTACAGCAGCTGAACAGAGACCAGACGGTCAGTGAGTTGATCGATCATCTGCCTCCTTGAGCTGGACATCAGAACTCTTACATTACATTTGCTGTCTCGTGCAGATGTTGTTGCGGCAGCTAATTCTGGAGGCGTACGAGCACCGCTACAACCTCATCGAGCTGGGGACGCGCTACCCTCCCTCCCTTGGCGACTCGGCGTGGGTGCTCGAGAATATCGCCAAGGAAGGCGCGTTCCACAATAGGCTGGAGCACAAGAACATCAAGACTGTTCAGGACTTTGTAAGGATGCTAATGGTCAAGCCTGACGAACTACGTGCGGTGAGTTTCCATTCTGGAGGGGGATCGGAACTCTGGCCGTGCATGCTTGTGTTTGAATGCTCTGTTTTGTGGGATCAGATGCTGGGCGACGACATGATGGACGATATGTGGGAGGAGACCAGCAGGCACGCGAGGACCTGCGTCCCCGGCGACAAGGTGTACGTGTACGCAGCGGATGGCGGCACCATCTACGTGAACTCCGTCTTCAACCTCGTTAAGGTCGAGATCGGTGGCATTGAGTGCCCGTTGCAGCAGCTCAACTGGGACCAGATGGTGAGTCTGTATATATTGTCTATCATATCATCTAACAGCTATCTTGATCGTCATATCATATCGCCAGAGGTGAGGTGACAGACTTTTCTTACAAAACCACTGTCTTTCACGGTAGGCGTTGGTGCTGCCGCTAATTATGGAAGCGTACGAGCACCGCCACGACCTCGAAGAGACCAGTGCGGTCACATTCGACGGCGACGCCACCGACAACATTGCACTGCTCCGCGGTAAGTATCTGAAGTCTGAGCTGGCCTTCTCAAATGTCACATTTTGTGACTTGTATAGAGATCGATATCCTTTTTCTCACCTCTGTGCTCTGGCAATTCGCAAATGCAGCACGTTTTGCGGCGCACTCGCGAGCGGACATGAGGCCAGTCATCAACAACTTGGTCCCCAGTCCCTGGATCATACAATAGTAAGCCAAGCAAATGAGCCAACCACTTTGCAAACCACTTTGCAAAAACCATATCTGTTTTCTTTCTCGCATTTTCCTATGACTTTCTACTCCAAAACTTGTTTGCTGTTTGCCTGGCTTTCATTGATAAGTAGAGGAGAAATATTTTTTACAGTACTCCCAAATATTCGCATACAAATAATTTGAGTAGTACTCTGTAGTTAATATATGCACAAACTCATACTCATTTCTTTAGAACTCATTTTGAGTACCCCAAGTGGAGGAATATCTCAGGCTAACATACGGCCTTCTTAGGCTAACAAATATCTCATGAATATAATAACTGCTTAAGACAAGTTAGTTAGAAAGTAGGACACTCACATTTTTTTGTCAAGCCTTAGAAGCATTAATTCCTAAACTCATTTACATTTTTTGTCAAAAGATTTACATTTTTTGTCAAGCCTTGTAACCATACATTGACAAGAGATTTACAATTGTTATCAAGCCTTATGGGGTCAATGACGAAAACCTGAACCCACTTTAATTTAAGAAGTGGACACCATAATACGTTCTCGAAATATAAATGGTTAGGCACCCATGCTTTAAAATTCCAATACCCTTCTTTGTTTAGACCCCATTTGTGAGTGGTTCTGGCTCCGTGGCACGGAGGAGCCAGAGCCAGATTGGTTTCACTGAAATCCAAATTCATTTCGAGAAGAGAGATAAAACAACTTCTTGCTGCACGATGCCTAGAGGAACCAGAGAGCTGGTACACCAAAAATAGTGGTTCCACAGAAATCCTAGTTTATTTTGAGAAGAGAGATATGACACCTCCTCGGTAAATAGTGCCCGGAGGAACCGAGCCGAAGTACCAAGCAGGGCATTAATATTATTTCAAAAGCATACAACAGTAGCGGAAATGGCCATATTACGGAGCCTATGTCTTTTTATGAGAGCATTCCTGTCAAGGAAACTCACGATTTGGCATAATATTGTTGCACGTGTGAATCTTATATTACTAACCTAAATAAGGATTTGGATCCTTTTGTGTGGATTTACCAAATTATGACAAATTCACACTCAAGCCAATCTATGGTTTTCTTGTGAATAACGGAATGAAGGTTGCACAAAAGGTTGACATCTGGAAGTAACTCCCAGAAAAAAAAAATTCTCTTTTGGCTTTTTAAAGGAGGGGTCATCCAGACTACGAACAACCTAGATAGGCGGAAATGAAACAATAGTAAAATTTGTTGCCTTTGTAGTGAATTAGAAAGTATGTAGCACCTCTTCTTTGAATGTTGTCATGCCAAATGTCTATAATGTGCGGTGTACCTTGTTTCAGGTATCTCACAACCACATACATCAGCTCAGTTGTTCTGTTCTTACTCCAAGCAGTGGGTAACAATCTTACATCGTTGTCATTGACGTGAGCTGCAACGCTTAGCTGGGCAATTTAGCACACACTAAAGGATTTTGTGTACAAAAACTTCTTTTGCAGGTTCTATTCAACAAGATGCACTGGTTTCGGTTTTGTGTGCTCTTATATAGCATACTAATGACCAGAAGGAATTGTTATCGTTAAAGGGTGTGTGAACTTTTAGAGTCAAGAGCTATGTAGTTCTTCACGTCTCATGGATGGCCATTTAGGATTCACATTGGTCAATAATGTTGAACTTATTTTTTTTGTTTTGATCTTAAATCAAATCTTTGTCTCATGCCTCTTCGTTGAAAAGGTTAGAATCAGGAACAAATCCAGCATGTACAATACGAAGGATTGGTGATGAGGAAATTCTAAATCACTTCAGCTATTTAGATTGGATTCTACAGATGGGGTTAACATTTTGCATATGCCTACTATATACCCTTGTCCACCTGATACTCAGTATTGTTTGTGAGCTAAGATGCATATTTTTTATTATCTGGCTGTACTAAAATTTTGGGATCTATGCATCAATTGGCGCTGAGTTGTGGTCTGTAACACAGGCATTGCATCATATCAAATCCCAATCATATATGTGCAAATGGCTGCTGAGCACGAATCTAATGTGTTGCCACGATCCTTTGTTTTTTCTTTTTTTTTAAATAATGCTTGTGAGAGGTGAGAACGTCTGTACGTGACAACCCAGGCTCAATGGAATAACGATGTGTGAGACCCAACCCATTGGTCCAGTTGGGCCCGACCAAATTCTCGGAGCTGTAGCGATGAGGTACTGTAGCTTCGGGTGCTGTATCATCAGCCCAATATTCGCAGTTTAGTCCGTACCGGAAATGGAACGAATGCTAGACCAGCTTAAAAGCCTGGACCTAGGAGGCAATTAACTCTGGATCGATCTTTTTACGCGAAGCGAGGACGAAAGCGCAAGAGAGTTGATTAGCAGGTGTGGTTCATTCAACATGTAGAGTAGGCATTAGCCGTCATCCCGGGTTGGGGCGTTACAAAATGGTAATCAGAGCCAACTCTCGTGTTTTCACAGTTGCGTATGGTCTGGAAGTCTGGACAGGTTGTGCATGGCTCCAGTGAGGGCATGACAGTTGGACTGGGGAACTGGAAATACAGACGTGGCCAAGAGAGTCGATCCTAAACATTTGTCCCGTATGGGTAAGCTGGTTCGATAGCTCGATGAGGACGTCGAATCCTTTGAGGGTATATATGGAGAATATTTTGAAAAATCAATCCACTATAATAGACAATAAGTGACATCACATCATATTACTAAATCTTTGTTAAGAAACATTAGGTGAAACATGAGCTATTCACCTCTATGATTCCTATTTGCAGAGCTATTCAAAGGATATTCCTTTTGTATACCTCTCGTGTTTCTAATAGACTCTCCAATTTTTGTTCTATATACTCTAATAGATTATAAAAAAAATTCCTTGTGTGAAAAAATCATGATAAAGCTATTATATATTACATTAGATGTATGCCCGTTGCACTAGGACCATGAATTTTTGGACTCTACCTTAGTAATTGGATGCAGACGCGTGAGCTCCGAGGACCTCGTATTGGACGCGGACATGTGGATCCGGTTTTCATATTGGAAATGGGTAGCACGCGGATGTGTGAGCCCCGAGTGGAGGATGATTCGTGTTGGACGCAGATACGTGAGCAAGATCAAGATTTGGTATCACCAGGTAGATGATGACGTTATAGTCTTTTTGGTGTATAGATAGATATAAAATAGATATAGATTTAGAGAGTAATGTAGCCTCTCAAAAGGGAGAGCGAGAAGGGTGGTTTTTGGACGGTGGAAAAGATAGAGTGGTGTAGAGAGTCTATTGGAGCATGTTTTTTATTTGTTTTCTAAATTTATGATAAAGAGCGAGAAGGATGTTTCTTAAATTCGTGTGAAAACTACCATGCATTGTATTTTGTGGTAGAGGACCTCTTGGAGATGCTCTAAAGCAGCGGGAATATCATTTCCAAATCCGTATGATAGGCAACATGAACACATTTATAATTTTCCTAATTGAAGACTTATGTTTTCAAAAATTAGTTAAGTAGAGAAAAGTCTGATTAAAGACTCCAAAGAAGCTTCCATGTTAGTCATTACAAGATGTGCTTGGAAAAATAAATCGTGGAAATTCTAAAAAGGTCATAAACTTAACATTGACTATATTTGACTTATTTTGTCTTCTAAAAGAACACCTATATCTATGAGCCGGACCAAAGGACCTTTATATAAAATTAAAAATGATTATTATAATAAGTATGAGAAACAAAATATGTGTTACAAAACTAGCTTAGGCATGCATAAACATCGACACATATTAAGCCTCAACAACCCTGAGGGCGCGAGGTCCTCTTGCCCAAAATATATAAGGTACACTGGTGAGGATTTTCACAATGATCATTTGAATTGACGAAATAGCAAAAATGAAAAAATATAAAGTGGATTAGCGCCACGCCAGACTAGATCTTGCTTGTCCCTATCCATGTGCAATAATATCCTTTTTTTATTAATATGCAGTAGCATGATTAGAGCAAGAGAGTCAATTACTTGTCTATAAGACAAGCCATATCAGCAAAATTAGAGCCAATTCTTACGATAACTTGTCTCTTGATATTCTCTAGCAACCATATTAATATTTTTTTATTTTATTTCTTCCTCCTTCTCTCGTCCAGCTCAGCCACACGAGCTGATATGCTCGGTGTCACGCCCATTTCTATACTTGCTCTTATTGTAAAAGTAAAGTTTGTTCAAAATCATCTCTAAGAATTGTTAAAAATAGGATACTAGGTACGGTCACTTTTTGCCAAGCAGAAGCAGTATTGTAAGTTTTGGTTTTGAGCTGATTTGATATTTATAGTAGAATCTTACTATTACTAATTAGAGGCCCCAACGGAGCCTCCACGTTAATCCTCACCAGATGTACTAGAAAAAAAAGATAAATACTAAAAATTCTTACATTAATTTGAAACATCCAACCACTAAATCAAAGACTCTAGCCATCCATCACGATTGGATCTGTTTTCTAGAAAATTACCTACCTCTGCCATTATAGATAAAAATCACTTTTTAGGAGAAAAAAACATTGACGGTTCGTAGAAAATCTTGATCGATAGTACTAACATTTACAGTTAGTTAGTATAAAATATTGGACGAGTCCTATTATTCACGTCGCATGGTAATACATTATTAAAATATCATATCTGCAATACTGACATTCGTAGTTAGTTAACGAAAACAATATATTAATAAAGCAAAATATATGTATTGAAAATATCACATTATCGACATTCACAATTAGTTAATAAAATATTAGACGAGTTGGATCTTATTAATCACGTCACTTGGCAATAAATTATTAAAATATCATATGTGCAGTAACAACGTTCATAGTTAGTAAATAGAATATCCTTATTAATAAAACAAAATATATGTATTAATTAAATATCAGATGAGTCCTACTAATCGCATTCACTTGGTAATGTATTAATAGATTATCATATACTTCCTCCGTCCCAAAACAAACGCATATTCCACTTTCAAGGAGTCAAACTTTTTAAATTTGACAAGA